CAGGCTCTGGAGCAGCAGGGTGTTGCTGGTCGAATCTGAACTGCCACTGCTGGTGCTGGGGCTGTCATCATCGGACATTTGCTTATCACTGGCCATTTGATGAAGTTATCACTTGAAAAACTGCAGCGGGAAAGAAGCTGCCGCCGCCACCGCCCTGGCTAAAGTTAACAAGGTTCCCATCCCCGCTGCCCTACTTCCCGGCGGGAAGGAAGCTGCCGCCGCTACCACAGCCCTAGCTGCCCCCACCATACAATATTTTTAACTATCACATCTCAGATCACATAGTTGCCATTTTATGTGTGTGGCTGTGTGTGTGTGGTTAGAAAACTTAAGATCCACTCTCTTCACAATTTTTAAGTATACAACAAAATTTTGTTTACCTATAGATGTCTTATATATTGGATCTCCAATACTTAACCAATATTGTATAAATAAAACTTGTACCAATTCACTGTACTTTCCCAAAATATTCTGCCCACCCCCATTGCCCATGCCCTAGTAAAGACTATTCTATTCTGGGTCTTTTGTTTGTTTGTTTGTTTGGTTGGTTGATTACTTTATTTTCTTAGGATTTAGGTTCTAAGGCCTTTGATTTTTATGACCAGTGAGAAATAAGAAATCCCTTTTACCAAAATATATAGAATCCTTTGAATTTTATTGTTTTATGAGTTTGACATTTTATATTCTACATATAAGTGAGATCATGTGTGTTAATCAGATGTCATTACTATGAACAAAATAACTGACAAGAACAACATAAAGGAGGAAAAGTTTATATTGGACTCACAGTTCACGGGTTTAGTCCATGATTGGGCAACTCTATTACTCTGGGTCCGATGTTAAGCAGAACATCATAGTGAGAGGGTGTGGCAGAAGAAATTTCCTCAGGTCATGGCAGACACGGAGCAAAGAGAGAATGTGGTAGGGACAATAGAAAATATAAGCACTTGCTCATGAGCCCCTATAAAGATTAAAAGCAATTTACATATATCCAGTATTTAGTGTTAAAGAGTAAATATTCCCATTTCAAAAAGGAGAAATAGAAAGAAGGGATGGGACCAAAAGAAAACTAAAACCCAGTTGGACAAATATATGTCCTGTAATGCCATGTTGAGCATTCATGGCACGTGTTGGTAGGATATAAACTTGAAATTTCTTGGGCAGTCCTCCACTTTGGCCTTGCCTGTTGCAGAATTCATGGTCTCTCACTTAGGCTGGCTCTGCTTCAGCCAAGACAGAAGCTTTCCTGAGCTGATGTTCCTCATTACGGGCATCTGTTAATCATGGGTTTCTTCACCACAACTTGTAGGGGTTCTGTGTTTGAGATTGAGGTCTCTGATAGCTTCATGACTGTTGCATGCTTGGTGGCTAGGAAGTATCAGTGCAAAGACACAGAATGCCTAGCTGCTGTAGCAATGTCCTTCACAGGGAGGCTCTGTGTTAGAGTCTTATCAGCCTTGACCTTAATCTCAGAATCTTATCAGTCTCAACCTTGATCTCAGGCACACAGCTCCTGGAAATAAAAGAAATCTCTTGTTAGACAACCACAGTGTTTCACTGAGCCTAAACCTGCCCATATAACAGTAACTTTATACAATGAAATTTCTTGAGAGCTACACAAAGCTCCTAGCATTGCACATTGCAATTTAGTATGTAACTGAGGAATAAGCTGCATAATATTGCTAAGTCTGTAACCTGCCTAGTAATACAATGAACAATATGTACTAATGATGCCAATGAGCTAAAGTAACCTATTGATATAAATAAAGCTTGGAAGTTTGGCCCCTGTGTCATTCTGCCATCTTTCTTTCCTGCCCCTGCATCTTGTCTCTGTGTCCCCTTTTTTATTTTCCTTACAACAACTTTGGCTTGCTTCTCATAGCTTCATGTATCACCCACTCAGAGGCTGCCTGCAAGGATTTTCACTCTGATGCATGTTGTCTTATTTATCAGGCATTTCTTTGAAATCTCACCTCACCTGAGCCCCTAACTTTAACAATCTGCATTCCTACAGAACTAGGACAATGTAGATGATTTTAAGGTCTGCTGCCAGATCCAGCAGTAGCTATGACCCTAGTACCAAGGACATAGTGACCTCTCAGTGCCTAGGTGGTAAGCATCGTGAACTGAATCCTGGAGTAACAACCTCTTTGGAACCCCTGTATGAGCAGGGTACCCACTGTATTTTATGAAAGTTTTCCCTTTTAAATACTTGAACCTGTGATAGGTGTGGTCTTGTTGATTCCTGAGATACTCTCAAGGCATCTTTTCCATTGTCTCTCTGCAAAGTACTTAGCTTCTTTTTAGTGGTGATAGTCACTTTAAAAACATACCTTCATTGATCCCAATTTTACATTCATTTTTCTGGAAAAAGAAATGCAAGTTTTAAAAATTTTTCCTCTCTGCTTCTCACTCCCAATTCTCACAGTATATCTGACTAAATGCTACCCAAAACACCCATGCCATTGCCAGAATGTTGTGCTTCTTTGAAATTTCCCCCACCAGATTTAGTCAATCACCTTTAGATTCAGGCTCACAGAAAATCTCAAGACATGGGAAAAGTGTAGACAACTTCTTTGCCAGAATGTAACATGAATGTTCTCTAGTCCCAGTTGAAAAAAGTTTTATTCCCCTCTGAAACCTCATTCATCAACAGACATTTATATTTGGTTTTGTATTTGTTCTTGTTATGATTTGGATGTGAGGTATTCCCCAGAGCTCATGTGTGAGACAATGTAAGAATGTTTAAAAGACAAATGATTGGGTTATGAGAGCCTTCACACAATCAGTGAATCAATTCCCTGACTGGGATTAACCGAACCATAACTGAAGGTAAGTAGGGTGTCACTGGAGGAGGTGGCTCATTGGGGGTGTGCCTTTGAGGTATATATATTTTGTGTCTGGCAAGTGGAGTCCCTCTCTTGCTCTGCTGCCTGATCATCATGCTAGCCATTTTCCTCTACTATGTTCTTCAACCATCATATCTGCCTCACCTCAAGCCCCAAGGAATGGAGCTAGCCATCTATGGACTGAGACCTCTGAAACTGTAAGGCCCTAAATAAACTTTTCCTCCTCTAAAATTGTTCTGGTTGGTATTTTAGTCATGGCAGTGGAAAATCTGACTAAAACAGTTGTTATTACAAAATACAACTATTTGGACTGGCTACTGTCTAAAGAAAAGAAACTTATGTAGTTCACAGTTTGGGAGCTAAAAGTTCATGTTTGGCAGCTCCACATGTTCAGTCACTGCTGAGGGCCTCATGGTGAATGACAGCATATTTGGAAGAGATCCTATAGAGAAACAGGATCCAGAAGGATTCAGGAGTCAGGCTCACTCTTTTTTCAATGCTCTGCTTTCAGGGTAACTAACTGTTGTTCCACTAGAACCTCTCAAAGGGCAATGCTCCCAATGATCTAATCACCTTTCACTGGACCCCATTAGCTCCACATAACCTGTCAACATCACCACATTGAGGACAAGCTTCCAGAGCACAAGTTTTTGGGAGACACACTTACACTATACCTAAATCATAGCAAGATGTTTCTATGTATTGACTATTGTGACTAATCCTGCAATAAACAGGGGAGTGCAAATATCTTCTCACTATATCGATTTCATTTATTTTAAGTGTATACTCAGAAGTGAGATTTCTGGATTATAAATAGGTTTATTTTTAATTCTTTGAGGAAACTTCACTCAGTTTTCTGTAACTATTAA